TGGTGAGACCTCACCTGGAGTGCTGCGTTCAGCTCTGGAGCCCTCAGCACAAGAAGGACATGGAACTGTTGGAGCGGGTGCAAAGGAGGGCTACAAAAATGATGCGAGGGCTGGAGCACCTCTCCTATGAGGACAGGCTGAGAGAGTTGGGCTTGTTCAGCCTGGAGAAGAGAAGGCTGCACGGAGACCTGATTGCAGCCTTTCAGTACTTAAAGGGAGCCTACAGGAAAGATGGGGACAATCTTTTTAGTAGAGACAGCAGTGACAGGACGAGGGGTAATGGTTTTAAACTAAAACAGGGTAGGTTTAGGCTGGATATAAGGAAGAAATTCTTTACAATGAGGGTGGTGAAACACTGGAACGGGTTGCCCAGAGAGGTAGTGGAAGCCCCATCCCTGGAAACATTCAAGACCAGGTTGGACAGGGCTCTGAGCAACCTGATCTAGTTAGTGGTGTCCCTGCTCACTGCGGGGGGGTTGGACTAGATGACCTCTAGGGGTCCCTTCCGACCCAAAACTTTCTATGATTCTATGATTCTATGATTCTATCATGTAGTGCAAAGGTTAGAGCTAACAGGAAAAATGGCATTGAGTTACTACTGTGGAAAGTGTTGACTTCTAGATAACAGCATGACAATTTTAAAAGAAGCAGATGCTCCCTCTCGTGCTCCCTCTCAAAACTCTTGCTGAGAAGAAAAATATACATCAAACCCAGCAACTTTTCAACCAGTCTTAGTGAAGAACACTAACTTAGAAGTCCAGATGAAGGTAAAAACAGGTAAGTAGCATTGAATTTGAAGCCATGAAGCATGAGCACTGGGAGTTTACACACTTCTTTTAAAAAAAATATTTTAAACATGTAATTCAGTATTGTACATTTTAATGTGATCTGTTCTGTGATTAGAAGTATGTTAGGCTCAGTTTGGAGATAATCAGAAACATTGAATAACTCCATTGGGTATCTTGCAGCTTTGATTCAAAAATAGTTGCAGCAGTTGAATCAGTGATTAAATTCCGGACTCAGCTGTGCACCTTCCCTCTCCCTTTGAGCAGAGGCTCCCTCAGCTCGTACAGCTTGCTCAGCTCCAGGCCAGAGCAAGGCTTTGACTAACAAAGCTTGTTTAAAATACAAAATGCAGGTAATTATAATTCGTAGTTATAATCTGTCACATGTGTTTTGGCCATGGTGACCTAGCTGGCAGCTCCTCCGTCACAGTGTATTTCTTCATATATAGACAGGAGAACCTTTGAAGAGCAGGTCATTAGTTCAGCATGGAAAAAACCACAGGTTTCATCTCCCAGAATCCTTCCCGCCATTGATGGTGTCGGTAAACAGCATAGAAGGCTGGTATTGTCCTGCTGTACTCTCCAAAGGAAAAAAGTGTTATCTTAAACATAAAAGACAGGAAAAATTAGTAGCTTTCTTTACCTTTTCTGTTCCAGAAAAGAATTAAAGATATGTGTGGGAGTTTCTCATATCTGTGCCGTTAGTGCAGTGAATAGCTCCAAAGCCTCATCACCACATAAGTTACAGAGAACTGGGGTGAAGCTACATTTTTTGAATCAATACCCTGCAATAGGTCTCCAAAGCAAGAAATTTAAAACAAATGTTGTGCAGAAATACTTCCATCAAGACAAAGAGGAGACAAAGAGTATTGAAGCTACTTCAATTTTGTGTTTATTCTACATATTTTTTTATTAATGGACAGGGAACAACATACCTATGATACCCACTGCCAAAGGTAGCAACCTATGTTGCCATTTCTCCCCTTTTTGATTTCTGAATGCTTTCCCTTGATCAAATAATGATGTCTCTGAGCCTCAAATCCCACATCTGCCTCATTGCCTGTTAAAAAAAAAGAAAAAAAAAGAATAAGAACAACTAGGCGGAGGCAAAGACAACTAGGCTGAGGGATGTGCTGGGACAGTGGAACAGTTTGTTAATGACAGTAGCTGCTGCTTGTCCCCAAGCTAAGTGAAAATATATTAAAAGGTATTTTTATTTTAATCATCTCCCTCTGAGCCATCTTCACCTCTGTTCCTGCTACATTCACAAAAAAACACCCATAGATGTTCCACAAAGATCAGGTTTTTAAAGACAAGATGTGGATGTTTTTCTGGGGTTTTTTTGGTTTGCTCTTTTTTCATGGCCATGGTGGGGGCGAGGCCTGGCTGCTGTAAAAGTAGAACATATGAAGTAGTAATC